TAAGTAAAAGTGATGTGTTGATTTTCCTGAAAATCTGTGTCTCACCAGGTACTTTCCAGGTGGAAAAATGGGGTAGTCAGAGCAAGGACAGAATTAAAATTTAAAAAAACAATGAAAAGCACATTTGGCCACTGGTTTTGTTGTCTGGCTCAGTGAACTTCTGATCCTCCTGTTTCACAGAAAAAAAAAATGTTTAATTTTATACTCAGAAAACGGACAACTACACAAAATAAATTTAACTTGTGGAATACCCTTTAACTTTCCAAGAATATTTTTCCTGAGGAAGATTATGGAAACACTGTTGGAAATATCTGGTACTATCTATGAAAAATTTGCTGTGCCAGTCTGTGAAGATGAAAAAAAGGAGAGGGAACTGATACATGTTTAAAACAAATGGGTTTGGACTTTGGTCTCAGAACTGATCAGAAACAGAAAATGGGCTGCTGTATTAAGTGCACTCCCTTCATGATTTACCCACAAGAAATATGTTTTTCCTGGAAAAAGTTTCTAAGCAGCCAGCAGAAAAAGCAAAGTGTTAAGCTTTTTAAGAGAGGAACCACGTCTCTGGTCAGTCTGGTAGAAAGGGCTCAGCCAGGTGTAAAAGCAGTTTTTCCACAGCTTGCTTTCCTGGATAATTTCTTCTTCACAAAATTCAGAGCATTCCCTTAGTTCTATGGATTTAAACAAAAAATCACCTAAGTTTTTGGTCACAAAATTATGCAGTGTGGAAAAGAGATAAGAATGAATGAAGATAAATATTTCCCTTGAGCTATAACCTGTGATTTCTGTTAATTTGAATGTGCAATGAAAAACATCTTGCAGAGGAAAGGATTTATTATCATTGCTTGTGCTTATGACAATTTTGAAGAATATGCTATCCTGAGAATATAATTTCCCTTCAGTGCTTGTCCTGAAAAATAGGGCATCCTACACATTCTGAAAGTCTGAAAGTTTACTGGGACAGAGGGGGAAAATTCCAAGTATTTTGCATAACAGTTGAATTGAAATTGTAGTGCTTTGTCACGTGTAGAAAGAAGTCAAGATAAAGAAGAAAACCAATAACAGAAATTTTTGGTTTTTGACAGAGGTAGGTTCACTGCTAAATTAACAAGGTAAACAGGAATAGGGTTAAAAAAGTGTTAAAATCTAGCTAGACTTGGAGGATAACCTGTTAAAGTAACAGCAGCCCTGCTTCATATTTCAGTTTTGCAATAAGACCAACAGAACGTGCAGGTGAGGAAGCTTGCTCTGGTGCTTGGGTCCTTCTTAACCTACCACCTTTATGTGCTCCTAAGAGCAGAAGCCAGCCTGAAACACTTGTCTGATGACATTAGAAAGCCAGTTTTAAAAAAAATATCCAATTTGTAGCCCCGTGACACAAGCACATGCAGCACAGCCATGTGCACCCTGAACTTCAGGGCAGATTCTGCCACACACATCTGTTATGCCACTTTCACACAGTCATAACTGTGTTAAATCAAAGCCAACTGATGTCACTGCTAAAAGGCTGAGAAGCTCCACTGTGAAGCATCTTTACATTTGGGAAGTGTTAATGTGCCATATAAACATTTTGCCTTCCAAAGCCACCATATATACCAGAATGTCAAAAGCAATTACTATAATGTGCACAGAAACTCTCAGACACACACAGACAGAATATTCCCCAGCTTATTTTTAGTGAGTATAACCACTGTGCTGAAAGATCCAGGACAAAGGGACATTCCCTGTCACATATTCTCCCTGCCCATGGCAGGAAGTGGGAATTAGATCATCTTTAAGGTCCCTTTCAACCCAAACCATTCTGTGATCCCATGAAATACATTGCTGTTTTAAATGAGAAAATATGCTGTGAAAGAACATTGCTTTTTCAGCCAGATGTTTAAAAATTTTAACTGCTTTTGCTGGATTTTGGTTTTATGTTACAGGCTGGTGGGAAGGGCATGAAAAAGAGGGAAATTCATGTAATTTCATCATGAGAGCTACATAAATGACATTGCACAAATGGACTCCTACTGCCCAACTCCCATGCTGATAGAGCTGAGTCAGAAAGGAAAGTCAGAAAGTCAGAAAGGTCACCCACAGAAAGGAATAAACAAAATAGTAAATTCTGTAGTACAGGAACTATCAGCTTAATGATTTATCTCTTTCCTCGAGAGCAGCTGGGGTAAGTGCAAGTAAGATGCTGCTGCAACAGCAGGGCTGGAACAACTCTTCCAAAGATTATCCTCCAGCAGCTGGCACCTTCCTTCCTGGGCTATGGAAGAGCCATGGCATTTGATCACATAAATGACCACACTGCTGTGCAAATACAATGTTAAAGCCAAAAGCAAGAGGTAGAAAATAAAACCCAGCCCTGTCCAGCCAGTGAGCTCAGCATGACCTTTGTACAGATGGGCCCATAAAGCTGCAAAGAAACTTAAATAAAGAACAAGGAATGTTTAAGAAGCAATAGTCCTAATTAATAATAATAGAACAACATATAGAGGAAAAAACCTTGCATGTTTACAGAGGTCTGTGCCAGACCTCTACCCTACTCTAATATTTATTTGTGATACAAGACAAAGGGACCTACAGAGCAATCCTACAGAGCCAGAACAAGGCTTGCTCTTTCCTCCATTCCCTTGCCAGGTTCCCAGCACAGGAACACGGCCTCTGCCCTGCCCTCTCTCACTGCTTAGCCTGCTCTGGCCTTTCCAGCTGTGCTGTCTGGCAGAACAGGGCAGGAGCAGGAACAGGGTCATGACTTCTGTTAATTATGGGGCATCCAACCCCACATACAGAGTTTGGTGTCGACAGGCAAACAGGAAAGCCACAAGTACAAGCATTCTCATTATTTTCACAGGTCAGATTTCTCACTGGCTGTAAGCAATTGGAAAATAACTCTGAAGAAATACATCTAAGTCATGATGCAGAACCTGTTTTTTCCAGTAAATCTGTGAGGGAATAAAAAATCTGCCTTGTATCGCAGGGCTAAGCAATACCTCTGGAGTTATAAGTGGTATTGCACAAATGATAAGCAGATGGATGAGCCTGGATTCCTGCAGAGGCATTTAGTCATCTACAAAAAGCCCCTTTGCATCAGCACCACAAGTCTGTGGTCAGATCTTCCACTTCCAGTTTCCCCAAAGTGGGTCACGAGTCTTCCCTCAGCCCTGTTCCCTAACCAGGCAGGGCAGGCAGGAGCAGGGGCTTACAGTATTGGCAGTGACTTTGTCACCAGAACACAGGGAATCCAGCATTGTGTTATGCACAAAGAAAAAGACATCTTCTTTCTTGTCTCAGTGCATTTATTATTTTATCAAGCTGAAACACAATGCCCCTTTTCACCAGGAGAAAAATTGACAAATGCCTTATTCCCCCCTTCACTGCCTTGAAGCTGGAGTGACTTAAAGCATGCCTGAAAGAAATCCTCTTAAGCCATTATGACCTGCTATTTTTACTGTTAAATTTCAAGCAATTAACATGCCTGTTCCTAAAAGGCAAATGATGAGCAAAACACTGCCTGTTTACCCAGGAGCACAGACACATAGCAAAGCAGTGTGGCCTCTAACAACTCTACCTGACACATGGAAAAGCCTACTGCAAATATTTATGGCATAAACTCATAAATGCACTTTAATTCTCATTGGAAGATGTGTCTAGAATACGTGTGGCTCATCTTTCCCCAGCAGAAGTTTTTTGGCTATGATATTAATGACGATTGTTAACTAGGGACATCGAGATTCTTTCTGCAGAGTACCCAAACTAACAGAAAGTACACTTGTACTCTAGTAAACAATAAGCCCAGAGAACAACAACAAAAAGATAGTTATAATCTGTTTCTGCTGCCTTGATACTGATGCAGACTTTGCAGCTTATTAGAGACTTTTAGTAATCTGGCAGATATGCTCCTATAGAATGATATGAGAGAATGAGAAATGAGTGAAGGAATGATAATGACTTGGGGTTTGTGGGTGCCATTTCATACTTTTTTTTTGTGTTTGTTTTTTGCAATGGAATTGGTAGCATAGTGATTTTCACAAAAAGATATGAAGATTTCAGAAATCTGAACACCAATAACGTTTTGTGGCATACTTTTACAATGCAATAAGAAGATGGGCTTTTCCACTCTATTGCATATGATTTAAAAAGGCTGCATCAACCTAGCAGCTTTTAGGCTGCCAAGTCAAAATACTGGCAGGGGCAAGAATGAATTACAACCAACTAGACCTTCAAGGCACAGGTGTTTCCTCTGCCCTACCACATGGGTCTTGTTAATCCCCTCCTGTGACATGGGGAGGATTTTCTGCTGCCCTGAAACATGCTGTGGAAAACAGGATTCAGCACCGAGTGCATTCTCATGACCTGCCACAGCCTGTGGAAATCACTGGGTGCACCAGAGCATGAAGAATGACTGAAATATTTCGTGTCCACACTGATGCTGCTGAGCTCCTCTGTGCTTCAGAAATGGGTAAGGAATGCCTATGACCAGAGGCACGTGAGTGCAGTTGTCATGGAAGTCAAAAACACCGTGGAGCTATATCTGAAGAGAAAAAAATTAAAAAATATGTTTTTCCACAATTTTTAGTTCATATTCCTGGTTTCAGATGAAACTTCTGGGTATTTCAGCCCATACCACCTTTGCTGATGTTGAAAAGTATCTTTCCTCATATGACACATTCTTAATAGGAGGAGAACCCCTCAGGGTTCATTGAAAATTAGGTTGCCAAATGTTTTAGGATTGCTGGAAAGTACAGAGGAGAAATATAAATAGGTTAAAACACAAGAAGAATAATGTTTGCTCACTCAGGCTTTCAGTACATACCAAGGACAACAGAACTCTAAAAGAGATGAGAGGAAAAGGAAAGCACTAGCAAGCCTTGACTAGTTACCAGTCAAAAAACAGCTGCATTCACACTGACCATGAAAAAAATCCCACAGGGACCTGAGTCCTTTCTGCTTCCCCAGAGCAGCATTAGAGCAGAGACATTCCATCTCCCCCACAGTGACTCACACGTTACCTGTGGGATCAAATATAATGGGCTGGCAGTTCCTGTTTGAGTTCCAGTTACATTTGAGCACCTGCCCTCCTTCTACGATGTTGTGCTGGGTAGTGTTTGCTTTCGGAGCTCCCACCAGGAGAAATGTCCTGCAGGAAAAAGAAGAAGCAAAACAAAGGTTTCAACACCTAAGGCACAGCTGTTATAACTTTATGGCACCTGAAGAGTTAATAAAGCAATGATCTTGCCTACTCTAATCTAAACCAAACTACTCTCAGTTACAGAAAAAGTCATATTAGGTTTTCTGCATGCAAAAGCATACAAAAAAAAGATCCCATTTACCAAAAAGAGAGAGAAAAAAAAAAGATATGATAAATTTAAAGTATCCAGGCCACCTTAGGATTATATTTTACATGAGAGAAACACATTCTATATTCTTCTTTTTTTCCTTTCAAAAATACGTACATGTACAGCAGAACAGGAAATTGTGTACTTCTGTACCTTACAAAAGCCGTCAGCTGGCATCATTTCTGGTTAATTTGGTGAGTAAGGGTAATTCAAGGAAGTCAGTCAAAAAAGGAAACAATGTCTAAACAAAGCAGTAGTGCACTCGGAGCTCAGCATGAACCGAATGTGATGAGTCAGCCCTGCCTGAGCAAGTGCTCTTGTAAAAACAGTCTCCAAGTGCCAGCCACTCTCAGCCACAGATCTGCATGTTAATGAATCCTCACCACATTCATTGCACACTCATCATTTTCTTATTAATATCTGCTATGCTTTTCTGCATCTCTGCTCCTACAGACACTTGTTCAGTGCCCTCCGAGCAGGAACTGCCACCAGACTGTGCCTGCACAAGTGGGAAAATTCAGAAGTGTCAAAGTAAGAAACAGACTGAACAAGGCTCTTGGTGTCTTCCAGCTCCTTCCAGGAGCCCCAGCACATCTGAGACCCACTTGACTCATCAACACTTGACTGAGAAAGTCAATTGGAAGCATGAAGTCATGCTTAGAAGACAAAATCAAGTGTTTCCTTGCACCAGAATCACGCTGCTCTGTCACTTGCCTTTGGACTGCTTGAGAGGGAACACAGCTTGCAAGAGCAAGTCTTGTCAGGCATTACAGCTGTCTAGTTTGGAAACTGGGTTAGCTAAACAAGCTGCAGGACTGGTTGGAGAATGTCTTCAGGCAGGCAAATCCAGGCTTATCAAACTTGCCTTGGTTTTCAGAGTCATCTCCTGGCTCCTTTTTAGTAAAGAGATAAGTGTAGGTGTAAACATGTACCACCTCCTCAAAGCCCAGCTCTCATGAAGACCTACCAGTTTTCAACCTGTGTGACTTTTCAGAACCTTAAAAATGTCCCAGCATGGACCCTGATAGAAAATCCAGGCTAGCTGGAAATCCATTTGTTTTCCTTAGTTGCCATTCACAGACTGTCTAGATTTCTAGAACCGGAATTCAAAACATTTTAATCAACTTAGAGTTAACTCTCTGGTCAGAACAGAAATGCTTAAAAATAATCATTATATTGCCAACTAAAGAAACATATCAATTATTATAATTACTATCTATTCAACAAGTGGTAGCTTACCTCCCATTTTATTCTTGTACCCCTGACTTTTGAGAAGTCCCCCAAATGAAACGCTCCTTTAAAAGATTTAATCATTCCCATTCTAGCTATATATTTTAAATGTTTCTTAAGCTAATATTTGTGATGAAGTTTATTAAAAAGATTACAAATAAAGGAATCATTAAGTGGGTCCACAAAGGTCTTTTCCCCAAATAAATAAATAATTTTTTATCATCAGAAGACCAAGCAAGCAGATTTTGTCAAAGCTCTTGTAACAATATGCAAATTATCCAAATACAAGAAGCCTCTAATCCACATACTTTGGGAAAGAGGGAATAGAGGGACAATTGTATTTCCATGGGAATACACCAGCTATGCTTTGATACTGCTGATTTCCTAAATCATGTTCCTGAGCCATCCACCCCATCCTAATGCTGGGGCAAGACTGGGAGTGTTCTGGCACCTCTGGTGTGCCCACAGGAACAGCCCCTTTCCAGGGCTTTCCATGGCCAGCAAAGAAACTGGGGCTCCCATGGAGGTGCATCCTGGACTATCAAGTGCAACTCCTCTGAAACAGAGGGTCTATGAGAAACCTGTTTCAGTTGTCATGGAGCTGTGTTCTGTGAAAGCTGAGCCCACTCTCAGGCACCACACAGCCACCACTTCCACTCCTGGAACAGAACTTTCCTACTGGACTTCTAAATACGCTTCAGTTTGGCATCCAGCAGGTCAAAATAGACCGTGAAACAGCAGCTTGAGCATTCAGGAACTAATATCATGCCTTTGTTGTCAGGCTAGACAATCCAAATAGATTCAGCCCAGTGAAACTGACTTAGTCTCTGGTACTGTGTATAGAACAGGTGATAAATAGAAGCTCACCAAAGCAAAAAGAAAGGTGTAGAAACCACCACCCCATATGCCTGGACACCGCATATGAGCATTTCTGGCTGTTTCAGGAGGCAAAATATCATAGATGTAAAATTTAAACCACTAGAAAGGGACTTTAACACCACTGTTCCTGTAGAAGTTGCATTCCTACTTGGTTCAATTAAGAACTTCAATGTAAAATAAGGTGTTTAGTTTAGCAGGTACAAACAAACTTTTAGTGATGGCAAAAAAAATGCGGTGAGAATTCGCTTATAAATTTACAGAAGTTTTTCATGCTGCCTGACAACCACATTGTTTTCTTTTACAGCAGTGCACTTTGAGGTCAATAGTTCTTAGAAAAATAATGGAGAGGTTCCAAATAGTGATTTCATGGAGAGTTGGGTCACATAATTCCTTATCAGAAAGCAAGGAAGAAAGTTTATTACATCCATTTACCAGTCTCTTGATAACTATGCAGCCACACATGCTGACTTAAAAATAAATGGTGGGACAAAAATAGAAGCTTTTTTCTTTTAGTACCAAGACTTAGAGGATTAAGATAACAGAGAAAGATGGTGCAACATGTGCAAGTTAAGACAGGATGGCTTCTAATACATGTAGGCAATAAAAAATGCAAACAAGGCTAGATGACGTGCTGCAGAAAGACTTGCTCAATAGCTGTACAGCTTGCTTATAAAGTTTTACAAGCAAAGATTGAGGGGGGGAGAGAGAATATCCCCTCAGCAGGATGAAAGCCAGCAGTTTTTCCAGGCTTACAGCCCTTTCTTAAGATGAGAGAGGAGTGGGGGGAAAGTGACAAAAGCTGGATGTTACTGTAGCCCCTATTTCTGAGCCAGACCCTGGTTCATTCTGGCGACACCGAGGCTGTGCAGTCAGCGACACGAGGATTCAAAGGTCTGAAACGCAACAGCGACTACACGCTGCCTAATCTTTAACACGAGACGGGAATATATCCAGGAAGCAGACGGGCAGGGTGCTTGCATGGAACTTCTCCTTCTCTAAACTCATTAGCAGCCGAGTGACTCGCACAGACTCGGCACAACTCAAACACAGCACTCCCGCAAAGCACACCCAAAGAGAGAACAGCAGATCTTCTGAAATGTCCCGGCACACGGCTCCAGGGACCAGAAGACGCTAACTACATCTTTCCACGCCGTATTTATCGGCACCATTATTTGCGTGAGAGCAGGCTGTGCGGAGAATGCCGCAGCGCAAGGATCACGTCCCAGCGGAGCCGCCCGGGATGGGCTCTGGCTCCCGGCCGGGGAATCAGAGCCGGGGCTGGGATGCGGAGCGCTCCTTGCTGGGGACCGCCGGGGGCAGCCGCCGGCTCCATCCCCGCTCC